AGGGCCGTTCTTCGTGCCTCGTCATCGACTCTTCGGCTACCGAAGTGGTAGAACGTTTAATCGGTGAACAGCAGTACTCCAATGATGTTGAACTGTATCCAAGGTGAGTCATGATCTAGTAGTCCAGTTCATTGGCCAGATAGAGACGGTTTCCATAGCCTAGATAGTCGCGCTCTTTACGTAATTATGGTTCAACCATTGTTAGACCCACCAGTTTGGAACCATTCCCAATGTCTTGTCGTTAACACTTTGACTACCAAGGTATTGAAGCGTTTCACAAGCGCCTTGAAGTACTCTAATCATGTTAGACTGTACCATGATTGTTTTATTGCCCAATACGGACCCATACGGTCAACAGATGGAAACGGTTACTGTTATCCGTGTAATTGCGGCTCATGCGCCGTTGGTGGGGTACATCGTTTTGGAACCGTTTGAAGTACCCCGTCATCGGGACTGCGACCAGCAAGGAGGTGGGGCGTTTTATTGGCAAGGAGAAATATGCTAAATGCGCTAAACTGTACTTAGGTTTCACCGTAATGCATGGGGCCTGGTGCAGCCGATTTTGCGGTGCCCAATAGGAGAGTTACTGTCAGTCGTAGAGCTGCACATATTGTGTCGTGTGGTCAAACCTACATTGTCGGGGCAGCAGCTTTTAGTGGTCTACTTGAGATACGGTCGGAACAATTGAGTCAGGGCACGTAATGATTCGGCTCGAACGATTTGGAGTTTAGACGTGATCATGGCAACGATTGCATTAAACACTGGGCGTTATCGCGAAAGAGTATGACCGGCAAAACGTTGCAGCGTTATTGCCCACCGCCGAATAGATTGCATTACTTTTATATGGGCGCGAGGAATGGAATTTTAATGCCTTTACCTCGTAAGCAGATCCTTATACTGCATTGTCGTTTGTATGTTAACAAATGCGCGTTTCGACACGGCGGATGGAACTTGAGAAACATATCTGAAAGTAATACAGGCAGCTGAAAACTGAACGTGACATCTTGATCCGTGAACGTTAGAGCGGGTCACCGTTAAAGAAATTTTTCGATGGAGAAGAAATCCTTAATTTCGCCGTTTTCGATTCATTTGACGTTATTAAATGCATTTTCTTCTCGATCTGGACGCGACCGAATGCATATTGGGCCCCGTTCGCAGGAGCTATGGACGTTAGAGGACCGAGTCTTGGCAGACGGGATGGGCCGGCTCTCAATTACTTGAAAAACCGGATTCCATGGGCCAAACTGTGTTTCCCGTAGCTCGTGTTTATGTACCGATACATGCCTGACCCTCGTATATCGCCGATCGTGTATGCAAGTGCACACTCGAGCAGTGTAACCTGGTCATGAAGTGGTTGGCCGGCGATGACACGGGGTGTCATCCAATCCCCTCGTTTCGAGAGAAAGTCACCGATCGGATGTCTTTGTAATATCAGTTAGACCTCTTCGAAGATGGTTTCTTGGACAACCGTACGCGTAAATCTGGTCGTCTGAATGTACTTCGAATAGGGAACCTTGTCCCAGATGGATGGGACTGCTGGAGGACCACCAACAGCAAACTGGTCCATATGTAAAGTGTTACCGAGAGACGATAGGATGACACGAGCAATGGTCGGGAAATAATCAAAGTGCGAACCAGTAACGCCGTTGACTTCCTCTTCCTTTCTAGCAATAAGGACTAATATTTGGAATTAGTTTAGCCGCAAAACTGCTGGCATGTAACGTACTTGCTGAGGCGTCCGTGGAAACGCAGTCCTGAATAGTGGCACCGCATGATTCTGATCCTACGAAATAAATTCATAGAAGATTCTTTCTTTATCTTAATTCCCCTGTTCGTGCTGTTAGACAACGGGTGATGACCAATTATCTGCAATGACGTCTGTTGCCGAATTACAGAAATGGTCACTGAACGTTGTTGTGCTTTGAAATCTTGAAAGAAGAATATTAATTCGCAAACGCCGTTTTCTTTTTTCATTTATAAAGTGGCGAACTGCAAAATGGTGTTCGACGTTGTCGCGAAACGCAGCCCTGAAGGTGCCGCATCGGCACCCTGGAAAAGTAGCACCCAGTGGAGAACGCATCTTAGACGTGCATCTCCGCATGCGGCACGCTTTCCTGGCACGATGCACCTAAGTGCAGGTTGTTGGTCGTATCGAGAACCTCACGTAGTTAACCATACCCCAACTGCAGTGTGCGCAGAAAATCAGTTATCCCCCCAGGTGAGGACATTCCAGACATTTCAGGTGACTTTCCACGATCCATCAGGCAACCGAGCCCGACCAAGCCCCTTAACACGGGAGTCATGCATATGCAAATCAACGCCGAGTACCAAAGGCTAGGACTTCCGGACCGAGAGAAAGGTCGCCACCGAAAGGACATCCCGATGACGTCTCGTTCGATAGCACTCGAAGACCGTCAAGGAACCTCTGGAGGAGACATTCTTCCCGAAGAACAATGGGGCGCCGCGGTTCGGCAGAGTCGCGCCGAGAACAAAGGATAGATTTTCCGAATAATTTCACGCGGCCTTTCCTGCGCCGGTCGGCCGGGTCGACGGGGAGAAGATGGACCCCGAAGGGAGGCGGCGAAAAAAGGAAAGTTTCGCGTAATCCTGTCGGTAACTCTAGGAAGAGGCTCGTGGGCGGTCGATCGACCGGTCGGGAAACGCGAATTAAGCAAAGTGGCCGAAGCGACTGGGCCGAAACGAATTTCGGCAAAGGCTTTCGGCCAGCAGCCCCCCTCTCCACGGATCGATGAGCCAGATTAATCCCTTTAGGCCCGATTCGGTTACTTCTGATCGCTCGCACGTAACTTCGGACCAGGGTCGGCGCCGCGCCTCTGTCCTTACCTGCGTCCTTATCGGAACCCGTTGTGGTTTGGGTGTCCCCACGGCCCTGTGTGCGGGATCGTAGTTCCGCGATTTGGTTCGCTGCTCCACGTCTGTGGTTTAGAATCGTCAGTAGGGTATCTAGTTCCCGTAGAAAACCCCAGACCCCAGTCTAGGACTCGGACCCTACTCCAGCTCCCGATTCCACGAGGCGAGCCCATCTTCTTTCCACCCATCTACGAGTCTATATCTAGACCCGTTATGGACTTTGGGTGCCTTTGTTATGCCGTGTGTGGTTCAGCACTCCTGATTTGTCCACGATCTGTCCATAGCTCATCGGTTGGATCTTCAGCTCCCGCAGGAAACCCCTGTTCCTAGTTCAGGACCCATACCCTGGTTCGGGTCCCGACCCCATAAGGCGGGTCCGTCTCCTATCCACCCATCCGCGGATCCGTCCGCGGGGTGGCGGGCAAAAAGCGACCGGACCCCGGCATTCCGGGCGCTCATTTAGCTCGGCAATTTATTCTCGCGTTTTGCAATTAACGCGAGGAAAGAAGTAGCGAGGCTGCCCCTACTCGGCGGAGGTAGTGCTCCCTTGTCCCTCGGGCCGTCGCTCCCGTGACTATTAAGCGTCTCCGGGCCCGGAGTGGAGGAGGTCGAGGAGGAGGCCGAGCCCGGTCGGAGGAGGCACGGGCTCCAAGGATGATGGGGCCCATCGCCCTGTCTCTCTCGCCGCATGCCACTGCAGTCAGGCCAGACAGAAAGCGGTCTGTATAATTATGGGTTGTCACCTCATCAGCTCGGGAGGGGCACGCACGCAGGGAGGAGAGGACGTGCCCGCTCGGAGACGGTGAACGGGACGCGCAGGTTATAGGAGTGCAGTCTTTAGCTCAAATTGCGTTTTATCGCCGCTGCTCGCCGCGCTCGCGTTTAGAGCTTTAGGCTCCCACCGACTAGAGGTGATTGCGGGGACCTCGCCGCCACCCTTTTTCGCCGAATGCCTTCCGCGAATGGTCCCGGACGCCCCCTCGCCCCTTCCCCTGAGACCATTTGCCCCGTGCCCTACAAGGGTCTCTGCGCACCTCCAACACCGAAACCTGGGGTCGAAGACCTGGACCCGTGTTCCAGAATGATGAGCAATGCTCCGATGACGATGTCTTCCCACCCCGGGGAACGTTCTCGGGAAGGCGTGGAGAGCTACCCTGGTAAAGTGTCGTCTTCGGCAAAATAAACATCTTGGATTACCTCGGTACACCAATCCAGCGAGCCCATATGTCAGGTGCACATGTGGTTGGGTGGATCGAAGGTCTTAAGTGGAAAGTTTAGAAGGATTTCAGCAAATCATATGGATTGGGGATAATGTATATTATTGGACAGATCGTCCAAATCGAGCTCTATCGGCCGTAATAAGTCCAATTTTGGGCCCAGTCGTGGGTGGCAGCGGATCTCATTCTCGTGGAATTGAATCGACCATGAACCAGAAAAACGTCTTACGAAATCTTCAACGTCGCGTAGGTCAGTTTTAGCTATTTTATTCATCCGTTAATGTGATCGATGGATTTGGGGCTGATGGATAGTTCAGGACCTTATCAAATAACTCATATTGGGAACAATTTGACTAGCCTTATTAGTTTGTGCATTAGTGGCTGATGCATGTGTGTCGTTCAGGACCTAATTGGACAACTCAGATCGAGAGGAATACATTCTAATAGGGAGGAAGGAGAGGTTACTCAAAACGCCACGGACAGATCGTGTTAAAACCTATCGAGTTCTAGCTGTTAATGATATGTCGAGGTCTAAAATCTTGCATGAAAGCAAGCAATCCTAGAAATCAGCTAGACAGAGGTTGCGGTTTCGAAACACGCAGGAGTGTTTCGGGCCGCCATATTAGCGTCGGATTTACCTAAGCGAGTAGGAGGACCAGGTCTAAGTGAAGAGTTTAGAGGGATTTCATTAAATCCTACGGATTGAGGATAATCTATGTTATTGAGCGGATGGTCCGAGCCACGGCCTTATAAGTTGTAATCAGTCCAATTTTGGGCCCAGTCATGGGCCGACTTTGGGAGTTGGCCCTATTTCTCCGCATATAATCTGGAGGGTCTCCCAGGTCAGAATTCGGCAGAATTGCAAGGTACCCAACATCGGCATACACGCACCAAATTTACCTATTACACCAGATGGGCTCATCTGCCAATATTCTGTTGCCCAACACAAGTTAGTTGAAATTTCACCATCAACTCTGTACCCATTCACACATCTCTGGGTCACGATTCGACTCTATCAGCAGATCTCTTTCCTATAGTTCCAGGGAGTGAAAACGGTTTCTATGTTCAACTTGAACAGCCGTGTACATTGCACAGTAGAATCTCCATGAAACGCTGAAAAATGGGGTACACAGGTCACGTTTACCCCATAATGCTAAATGAGCGTATTTAATTGCCCCATGCTGCATGCTTGTATGAGTAAGCAAGTACAAGGACCACACTTATGTGAAGAGTTTAGAATTTTTCTACAAAATCACGTGGATTAGGGATAATGTGTTATTGAGCGGCGCGTTCAAATCGCGGTCCATAAGTTGTAACAGATCCAAGATGCCACATGATCGACCGAATTTATCCATTACACGTGGTTTGTCCTGAAAGAATGTCCCGATGATCGCTAATTTCGGTTTCTCTGAAGAGGGGCCGAGAGAGATTTTTTGGCACTGAACACCCCTCTTTGTCATTGATAATTTTTCTTCCCTCTCCAAAACTCTAAAAATACGTTGTTCAGTTTATCCCCACAAGATGTGCGGGTTTCTTCTGCCTGAACACCATTAAAGAAGTTCAATACCCTGATTGAGATTAACTTCCACCTCGGAAGTACCACTTTGTGACACAACAGCACGACATATGTTCATCTGCTCAGGTAATTAAAATTGCGTTATCGGTTCCGTAGCTGTTAACACATCAACAGATTTTGATCCAGCAGATTCCCTTCCTATAATGTATGATATTGGTTTCGGCTTTCAAATAAAAGTACGTCTCCCAGCAGGACCTCCATAGGACATCCCAAAACGGGGGTACACAGGTCGCGATTACCCTATAATGCCGAATGGACGTACTCGATTACCCTATGCCGATGCATATATGCGTAAGCGGGTACGAGGACCAGGTCTAAGTGGAGAGTTTAGAAGGATTCCATTAAATCATATGGATTGGGGATAATATATGTTATTGAGCGGAGCGTTCAAATCGCGCTCTATAAGTTGTAATAAGTCCAATTTCGGGCTCGGTCATGGGCCGACTGGGGCAGGGGGTCTCATGCGGCCGACCCGGCGACCCGGGCCGGATTGGGCCCGATCGGGCCCGGCGGGCCCCGATTGGCAGACACTGGCCAGCAGCGCGGCTCCTCGAACCCGCCACTTACTCGTCAAACGGCCAGCCGGCCTGCCGAAATCACTGCCATTTAGATAATTTGTAATGAATAGGCACGCGGCACACAGGCGCACACGTACGAGGCTCACCTATGCCGCCACGAGGCCCACACTTCTGGGGCCCTAGCCGGGCCGCGGAACCGACCAACGTAGGCAAGCCGACCTAGGCTCGCCCAAATGACAATAGTTTCACCTGTCTCATATATTACAATGGGCCAGACCTCGGGGGCTTTCCTTCGTGGAAAGACGGCATAACTTTGCCTCGGACGGAGAGGGGCCCGCGGACCCAACCGGGACGGGCATAAAGGGGCAGGCCGCGGGATCGCGTGAACACACGCGCCTTCCCGGCCCACCGAGGCGCCATATTGAACCGTACATGGTTCGCCAGGAGGTTCCTTATTAAAAGCGAACCCGCCAATTTACCCGCTGGAGCGGGGATGCCGACCGAGACCCCGTCTTCGTGTACGCATACGCTGAGAGAGGCTACCAACGTCCGCCCGGGATGGGTCTGGCCAACCCGGAGAACCTGATCCCGGCCAGAAATTGCCAACGCTCGATCTGTCCCGATGGGAGGACTCTGCCGGGAATGTTAACCTGGACCATCCCCAGATATCCGAATATTCTTGCATCGCCATCGTGATCCATCAACAGGTGACTTGGAAGTACCACTTCCAGATCTCGCCCCGAAGTATCTGCAAGGAATCGGGTTTCATTAGCTCTTCGTCTTCAGAAATGATGTTGTTCGTCGTCATTCTTAAGGTGATATGTAGAATTTCAATTTTTTTTTAATTTCTTTACAGACCTTTTCAAATGTTTTGTTGTAAAAAGGGAAATTTCAGGAGTTTCAGGACCTACCTTAGGGTCTCTACGTTGTAAAGTTTGATACGATTCGGCACACCCAGGTCGTAGTAAAGTTTCACGTAACTTGCAAACGGTTCAACATTTTTATCCTGATAGATATTGGATGACTGTAGAAAATTCGACGAGTGGCAATTGTTTCATCGTCGAAAGTAGTCGATAACGTTTTACGCTCCGAAATCGGTGGTTCCGGGGAAATCCTTTCATCCCTTCGCGGAGAGGGGCACCGGTTTAATGTTAAATATGCGAATTGTTCTCTCCACGCAAGCAAAGGCACCGGGATAGGAGTTGGGCAAAGTCGACGTGCAAACATGGCCGCGGAATCGGCGTGCAGATTATATGCAGAGGCCGCGGTGTGATTGATATTTGACTAAGCGGTCGGCGATCCATCAAGTGTACAAAAGCGCTCTTTATCCGCGGCTCGCCGCCAGCTACACGTCTCGGCTTCGACTTGCTTGCTTGCACCCCCTCGAAATTCAATTTCATCCCTCCAACTCGGCCAGTACCGCGCGACTGCACAGCACTCGGGAAAGTACCAAATTGACTGGCGATTTTATAGAAGCAAATGACCATAGTGCCACCGAGAATACTTTTTTGATAAGCCCTCTTCAATCCCTAATTTCGGACTATCCGCGTCCACAACATGACTTGCCAACCAAATTGAAATTTTCCCAGCGATCACTTGACATGTCATCGTCCAGTGTCTTTTGAACCTTCATACAAGCCAATGAACATCGGACTGATCTACCTCCACCAGGAATTTAGGATCAACAACCGCCCCAGAAGGACTGGAACAAAATAATTAAGTCAGTTGGGATTTGGACCTTGACACGGTCGTATCACTGAATCTTGTCTCATTAAAATGACCCAAGTGACTAGGGTACCTTGGACTGTTGTGCGATATACGGAATATGGGACCCTTATCATTCGCAAGCCAGCTAAGAATCACTTAGCCCTGCAAATTCAGGAATTATCCAAGGTCTGAACGTAATTAATTATCGAAGAATTGTTGACAATTTGATGAGCATGTAGAATGAGGAGACGGAAATCGTGAATTATTTTCGCATTTCACGCTGATGACACATTCCGAAGTTAGTCCATTCTTGTTGGATCTTACCGCGCGAGATGCGTTGGGGGTCGCCTAATTTCGATTTCCTTTTAATGTTCCAGACGTGCCCAGGATGGAGAAATCGCCGCTTTTGGCCAATGGCTACAATCACCCCCCGACGCATTTAAGCCACATGCAATTTATGCAGCTGGGGGGACACCCAGCCGCGGGCCACACGGCCATCCTATCCCCAGCTAGCATACCCCACCACCTTCAGGCCCAGGCGAGGGCGGAACAGGGCCTTAAGGTGAACCCCAACATGACAAACATGGAGGCGATCGCGAGGTGAGTGGACGAATCTATTTTCACATACGCAAATATATAATCAAGCATCTACTCAAATCTACGTACACTGAAAGCGACGAATCGAGGATCTCTAGGAAGCTAAGCTAAGGAAGATAAGGAGTAGGGATGTTTGAACTATCGCAACCTTCTATAAAAATATATAAAAAATGAGGGATTGCAGAATCGGCGACATCAATCACGGGCGAACGAAGCCGAGAGGCCGAGGATTTATGTGAAGGGTTATTTCAAACGCAATTAGACATACTTTTGCCATCCCGTGGGAATTTTAATGTAGCAGTAAAAGTAAATTCAGTGATAGGTATTGCCCACCAAAGTGGAGTTATGTTAATTACGCCGTCATAATGGGGTATTGCCGATCGGTAGCAGGGTGGAGGTGGATTATTGGTAATTAGCATTGCACACCGAGGTGGAGTTATGTTAATTACCCTGTCATAAGGGGTAACGCTCGGTAAGAGTCTGCCCGGGATTACCATTCGGCCTCGGTTTGTCCGACGATGTTCTTTTCAGGAGAGCAGGGTCTCCTCTTATAATTACGTCCGGGTTATTGGGACGACATCGCGAAACGTAATTAGCATCGGTGGGAACGGGCCTCGGGTAATAAATTAGGCCCGCTTATAGATTTCCGGCGAGCCTTGTCGGCCATTAATGATATATATTTGGGCAATGACGAAGCGCGCCGCAGCGGGAAACATTTTCATTAACCCCGGGGGTGGGACCTGGGGGGTGTAAAACTTAGGAAAGTTCCGCTGCCGGGAAGTGCCGACCACCCCCTGGAAGCCGAGGGGGCGGCAAAACGGGACGCACGTCGACTGAGCATTTAGAAATTGGATTTATTTGTTTTAAGTTCTCCCCCGGTCCGTCCCTTTTCGCTCCGTTTCTCCCCTCCTTCTCGGGGGATGCTCGCGAGGCCAAAAGAATACAACTTTAAGAGGATTCCAGGAGACGGCGAAGCCGTGGAAATCCGAGGGGTCTCGACACTGCTTGATCTCTCTCTTGTGCTCTCCCTTCTACTTCTTCTTGCCTCTTAAGTCCGTTTCCTTACGCGTTCCTCGTTCTTTGGTCATTAGCCAGGTTGGGTTACCGATGAGGTCGCGCCCTTCCGAGGGGACGGACCCACCTTTTTCCCCGTCTTTAAACCCGCCTGGAATTCTCGTAATCCTAATTTTCTGACAGGGGAGAGACTTGGACTGATCCCCCATGATGCTTGATTTTTATGGGACTTATCGATTTCATTTAATTACGCGCTCTCTGCTCCATTTCTTTCACGGTTTCTTTAGGGGCGGTTTAATTAGTCACTTCCTCTTGATATCTTTTTGACACGTTAGGCCTTTTCTGCTTGTTTGCTTTCATTTCTTAGATGCTTGTCATTTTATGATCTCTTTACAGACTGAGTTCCTGATCAAGTTCTTCCCTCTAGAAGGGATGGACGCAGCGTTTCGGTCGTCCTCTTTAAACCCTTTTAAAATTCTCATCATTCTAATTTTCTGACGGTGGAGGAATTCGCAATGAGGATTGATTTGTACGGGACTTATTAGTTCGATTTATTTCGAGTGATGGCATATTTTCTCTTTCGACATATTGGGCGGATAAGCAATTTTCTGTTCAGTTTTCTAGACTCTTTGGGTACTTTCAGGTTCTTTCCAGGTTTTAAGTCCGTTTCCTTCGCCTTTCCTCGTTCTGGGGCCATTAGATTACCGAGTCAGGTTAGCTCAGCACGCCTTGAAGGCAGTTTGTGCTCCATTTGCGGTATGGGCTTGCATGCAACGCGTTGCCCAAACCTAAAAGCTACGAGTCTTGAAAGCAATCTGCATTCCATTTGCAAGATGGACTGGCATGCAACACCTCGTAGCACGAAATGTCTTATCAGGATACAACTGTTACGCCCTACGCAAAAGGTTCCCTATCACGATTCCCCATATTCAGTCTTGACAACCCATTGAATCCTTGTCAGCCACCAGTATTCAAGAAATTCCCTGAAACTCCCGAAGTTTTTCCAGAATTTTGACCAAGGATAAATTGCAATATCAAATTCAAACATTTTTGATGATTTAAATCCCACGATACGATACCAAGCAGAACCCCATCACCGCATCACATCATCAGAGCAAAACTGTTCAGTGGAAGATCACGAATCTCATCCTCCAGCCTCCAGATCCTATCAAATCCTTTCCAGATCCCAACCCCCAAAGTTCTTCAGCAATTCTTACCAAGGATAAGTTACACTTTGAAATTCCATCATTTTAGACAAATTAAATCCCGCGATACGATACCAAGCAAAATCCAATCACTGCGTCACATCATCAGGCCAGAACTCTTCAGTCGAAAGATTGCGTCTCCCGTCCTCCAACCTCTAGATCCTATCAAATCCTTTCCAGATCCCAACCCCCAAAGTTTCCAGGAAACATCCATTAGAAACGCGTTAACAAATGCCGGGATTAGGACGAACAGCTTCTCGGCGGGTCCGGATATATGAGTCCCCGACTTGTCTGTCCTGGCTTTCTGCTGCCGATGGGACCATACCTTAAGGGTGGGTTTACGTGGTTCCAAACCTCAGAAGAAGGTTTAGCTCGCCCCCTACCTTGGAGATAGGCTCAGACACCTCATACACGTTACTCTCCCTTCGCTAGGACATTTCCCAGGAGCAAAATTCGGCTTCAGACCTCAGCCTACCGAGAAAGGCCCTGTCAGCTTGAAGGATGCCGAGATATCCTTGAATTAGTACTCATTCGCTAATCTGAATCATTCAGAAGGCTTAAGGTGCTCTAGAGAGCGAAATAAGGACCCAGCTACCGGGGTAGCTTCCAAGGCAGGGATATAGTTACCGCGAAAATAATTAAATAGCCCAGCATTAGCAACGAGTTACAAGACTCGTCCCTCGCCCAGTACCGATCCGCAAATGAAATTCGACGTGACCCTTCACCGAGAGAGTTATTACTCTAGTAACCGTTATTATACTTGCAGGGGGTCCCACGAAACTCATTAGATTCGTTCTTTCATCCCAATTCGTCCTGTCATGGTCACTGTACATTTCCATGTAATATTCTCACTCGCCATTCTTTTTCTAACAAAGCTCCGTCCCTATCAGTAACATGTCCACTTGTATTGTTTTCTCTAATGTAACTTTATTTCGAAACGATATTTGTGAATGCAGTCTTCATAAATACATAATGCATAAATTTCAATTAATACTAGTCAGAAACGCTGCAGCGCCTAAAATTGTGCATATCTGATAACCACGTGTATCGATTAGCATATTGATAGGAGGCTACGTCCATGCTTGGCAATTACAAATATTTGTTAAACCAAAATTAAATCGCTATATTTACCCTATACTTCATGTATCAGCCTTTGATTTACGTGATTTGTTAGTAAATGATAGGATTTTATTGACGAGTCGGGTTTAATAATTAGCAACATGTCAAGGGTGGTTAGGTATGCTCGAATTCACCTCAGTAATCGAACATGACTAAAAGTGATCTTAAAGAGGAATTAACACTGGATTTTCAACGACAGACATTGAAATTATTTTTTTTATACTGCAAAACAGTTGAAATAAAAATAGAAATAAACGGGTAGGGTTAATTTCATGGTACATTTGTGAGATATCTAAGGGATGTTCCACGATTTTGGGGCTGATTCGCGAGAATTTGGGTATTTACTTCGCCGATGTTTCAAGATATGGATACATAACGCAACAATATAAAGACACGCGCACACGCACACGTCGTGGGGATGGGAAGGCGGCACCACACGTTCCGCATTATGATTTCAGCGCTTTGCTTTTAATTAAAATGCAAATCTATCGTGGCAGAGGAGCGAGAGATCGGGAGGTAAGACGGATTACGTCTGGGGGTGCCACGACAAACACCGGAATATGATTAATTCAACGCAACCCCATCCCGACCCAGCATCCACGATCTCTCCGGACCTTCGCCTCCACCTTCCACCTCTGCCCAACCTCCTGTCCGTTTCTGGCCAAGCTCCCATGTATCTTCCGCTAAATAAATACGAGCTTCCACCGCTCTTGAGGGGGTTGTTTCGGAAGGATTCGGAAGTTACCCTGACCGAGGGTGGAGCGAGTCAATTATTTTTCGGCGCCACGGAAGGCGCCTCCACCCTAGGAAAAAGTAAAAAGAAAAATCGCTAAAATATGATTTCTTTAGTATAGGAATCTTGAAACGACGAACGAGTACCGGAGAATAGTACAATGGGGACTGTGGATACATTTCGTGATTTTTTCATATTTCTTAGATAAGCCTAGGTTAGTTTTTTGTTATCTTGGTCTACCCCAACATCCATGACCACTCGACCATTTCTGCTTCCCCTGTTTTGAATTATCTTTAGCTTATCGTTGGTACAGTTGCAAGTGGCTTTCTGGCAGAGAAATGCTCTCCTGGTCCTTTCGGGGGTTGGTTCGAAACGGATTTGGGGTTGCAGGTGGGAGGGGGTGGAAAGTGTAACGGGAAGTCCTCTTGAAAAGAGTCCAGGAAGTGTCGCTGGATGATCCTTCAGGCAGCAGCCCTCGAGGAGGCCGCGGGGGGTGCGACTCCACCCTTACGTAGACTTTTTACCCCGTCACGGGGGTGGAGAGAGGGTGACCAAGGAGCCTTCGGGATAGTCTCGGGATATTTTTTAATCAGAGACTTCAAAGCTCTGGCGAAACGATCGAATGAAAAGGCCGCGAGTCTGGAGATGGGCGGACGAAAAAACGAGAGCACATCCCCTCATCCACCCTTAATCAGTCCCTCCGACGTCCCTCGTCGCGGATCGTCTCGATGGTGAGGGTGGAATTACTAATTCGGCTCTGGGTCATAATCAATGCGTTTACTTTATCATTTAGCTCGTCCGAGGACGAGTCGGCGCCTTTAAGCGCGTCCAGGGGTAGCTCGGCTCCGGGAAATCTCTGATAATATTTATATGGATCGAAAGTCTGGATAAAATAAAAAATAAAATCTCGAGGGTACGGACTTTTCATCTTGGATATTGATTAGGCTTCTATACTTCAATATACCCACATCCACCTATGTTAAATTTTCTTGCAAACATTTCCTGACAATTAATGATCACTCAATAATCGCGATTATTGTCGTCTAATCACAAGGATTCAGGGTGTAATGTATTAATCAACCAAAGAACGAACTCAAAAGCGACGACTCAAATTATTTTATCAGTGCCATGATTACCACCACCTACACATTATTCACCGAATTATCATGCATCTTTTAATCAGAAGTTAATGATCACTCAAGGATCATCGATCCTTTTTGTCTAATCACCGCGATACAGGGTGTAATATAATAATTATACATAATACTAACTAGAAATGAAATATAAAAAGTGGCACGTCCACAGTCCACCCCGCGGATGTACCGACCCCCCCACAGGACTTTCCCGCGAATCCTGGGGCGCTTCTAGGGGGTGCGTAACCCCAATGCCCTGTGCGATTGTTAACCCTTTACCCCTTTCTGCCCTTAGGTCGACGGGGATTTGGGAGAACTGCCGAGCGGCGTACGAGGACATCGTGAAACATCTGGAAAGGTAGGTCAGCTCGTTCTTTTCCGGAACAGCGTTAGGGGTAGTTTTCGCCCTCCCGGCCTCTCGACTGGGCGTCACCCTCGAAAAGTGGCGGGGCTACAGGTGTCACCGAGCCATTAGTCTGTGCCATGACTATGTGCCCTCGAAATCGAAAAAAAGTACCCAATCAAAAACGCGTTACGCAGGCGAGGAAAGCCCACCCCTTACCCCCTAGAAATTATTCTGAATTACCGAGAAAAATCGGGAATTCCCTGCGTCCCTGCACAAGCCCCTTTCGATTTCATCCACTTTGGGCCTCGACATGTAAAAGATATATATTTTTTTTTTATAAATAAAAATGCGATCACAGTACCATTGTTGCATTATTGGGGGGTCTGCAATCTGCATCATTGTACTCTGTCGAGTTTGCGATTACGTCGTTGCATTTATTTCGGGCATATAATTATATTTTTGCATTCTGTCATGTCTTCGGTATTGCGATCTTTCAGAACTACGGCGCCTATTGTTACCGTGTTGATTTTCGTGAATTAAGAAATTTGTTTGATAGCAGCTTCGCCGACGGAGACATTTATTAACATTCTCGTCACCGTATTTAAGGTGAAGTGAAACATCCCTCAAATCAGTCGATTCGAATACAACACTTTTTTTTAAGGGTATTAGACCAAACTGTTCGAAACTTTGACACATCACTCCTGACCATCTAAGAATTGTCCTGACACATTGAAAATTTGGATTTTTCAAAAAAATTTTTTAACTCAGTCCAGGCCAGAACCAAAATGGCGTCGAGCTCTCATATTTCGATCGATATACAATTATCGAAGGCTCTGATATGAGAATCGAAAGGGTCAGGACAATTTTACGACAATTTAGAACACTCTGGTAATCGATAAACTCGCATTTGAACGGGATAAAGGCAAAAAAAGTGTTGTATTCGCTTCTTTGCTAAAACGATGGTAATACGAGGTCTCGGAGTGAAAATTTAATTGACCTGGAAATCACAGATGGCGCAGGGGGTCCCTCCGCAGTCAATTAGGGCCCCAGGAGGCATGAATCCAGAGGATTTCTGGAATTTTACTTCGATTTCTTTATAATTATTGTACGAAAACGACAGGTGGAGTATGCCATTTGGTACAATACACAATATAATTCGACCCAGCTGTCAATATAAAAACGAACGTCGGCAACGTAGGCATTTAGAAAAATCCTCTTTATCGACGTTGATCAAGTTCCTCGACGTGTTTCACTTCACCTTAAGTTTGTGTCTCATGATGGAAGCTATCGGCGGGACATTTATTTGCGATAACACCGATACCCCGCGGACCGTGCGGATCGTTTGCGGAGGATCGGATGGCGAGGTTTTCCGGATGTCTCTGTTTCCCTTTCTCTCTTCCTATCCCTCGATCTCTGTTTCCGGCATTCACCCAACGCTCTCCCTTCGATAAATCATCATTAGTGGGCATCGAGTTCCCGCTCGGTTTAAACTCCGACATGTTAAGTTCGACTCCGGCGCAGCATCCCCGCTGTTATCACGGGATATTATCAGCTCGTTCTGTCATCCCGACGAAATCAAGAGAACGTTCCATTGCGAAGTCAGAAACCCTGTAATCGGTTAAAATCTGAGATTCTCACCCTAGCGTTCAATGAATCACGTTGCACTTCCGATAAATTGTAATTATGGGCATCTATTACCACGGAATATTATCAGCTCGCTTTATCATCTCGACAAAGTCAAGGGAATGTATTGTATCCAACATACTGTAAAAAAAAAAACGAACCCTTAATCAATTGAATTAAAAGGAATTTAAAAAATATCCATCAACCGCGTCTGTTGACTTTGATACGATTTTTGATAACGCTCGTGCATCTTTTATTGTACTTCGTCTCCATTGTTTGCAGCGTCCATTATTATTTAAATCGAACCAACATGAGTCCTCCCGATACGGGGGGCAACGTCAAATTTTTACAACGTATCTGTCTGCCTATCTGTTCGCCCCTCTCCTCCCATTCGCTCTTCTGTCTTCCTCCCCGACTCTGCTTCTCTCTTTTGCAGCATCCGATGCATCACGTTGCACCTCCGACAAATTATCATTAGCAGGCATCCGTTATCGCGGGATATTATCAGTTCATTCCGTCATCCCGACAAAATCAAGGGAACGTTCCGTCCCTTCGCTGAAAAATCATGAATCGGTCCAATTTTACGGGAATAAAAAACACATCATTCATATTATCAGCTCAGTTAGTCATCCCGACAAAATCAAGGGAACGTTCCGTCATACCGTCAACAAAGAGAACCCTTAACCAGTTAAAATTGTAAGGAATTTAAAAAACATCCATCAACCGCGTTCGCAGACATTAAAATCATTTTTGATAACGCCCATGCGTCTTTTATAGCACTTCATCTCCATTGTTTGGAGCGCCCATTATTATTTAAATCGAACCAACGCGAGTCGGGGGGCAACGTCAAATTTTTGTCTCGTATCTGTCTGTCTATTTGTTACCCCCCTCCCCCGGTCTGTGTCTTTCTCCATGTCTCTGCCTCTCTCTCTTACTCTGCCATTCGATGCATCACGTTGCACTTCCGATAAATCAGCATTAGAGGCGTCGAATTTCCGGCCGGGCGACGGGCCGAGTCCGCGACCTGACGCCGGTAATACCGACATGATTTGTGCGGTGCGGCCGAGAGCGCGCGGAAAACGCACGCGCCGGCCTCCCGTGATCCTAACCACTTGTCACTTCACGCGACGCAGATCATCGCCGCGACGTGTCCGTCCATCATTCGGGGATTAAATCATCGGTCGGACCCGACCCGAAGTCCGGGACTACCCTGTCTACCCTTTCGCCCCCGGAAGTGCGATTCAGCCCCTCCTTTTAGATCCTTTTTAACCCCCTTAATTCGCCGAGGCGATGCAAGGGAGGACGCCGTGGCGGAAACGGCTCCAGAGGAAGATTTCATCGGGGTGGATGGAGATGATGTTGGGGTAGGAAATTATCTAATACGTTTAGGGACGATAATAGTGGGATTTCTCCGGCTTGAGAGAGTTTTTCCATTTATACCGATGGCGGAGGAAATTCAGGACATTTTTGTTATTACTAGGAATTGTACTTGAAACTTGGGATGGTGTGAGTTGGAATGATCGGAATGACTTCACGTGCTTGAATGGATTTTTAGGGTCACATTGTTGGTGCAGAAAATCGGGGACGTTTGAGATAAGACGTCAAATTTATAATTTTACTCCAACCTTATGTACTAAAAGTGTATGAATTTTTTTTTTTAACCGTGCATAATTCACCCCGAGAAATCACGGAAACCGGGAATGGTTTGTTTGGCAGCAACGTTCTATGGGAATGATTGTTGTTGCCACAGTTTTTGTGATTTGTTCCGGGCCTGCTTGTGAACTCGTTAGTAAGGCTTATCAGGTAGACCCTGCCTTAGGCCCTGAAAAATCTGTCCTAAGTGAGATTCGCACCTGAGAGACTTCACGGTGCAAGCGATGCCGTTTGCACATGTTTTTAAATGTATTTGGTGCGAAACTCTACCGAGTTTCCTGACGAGCGTAACCGTTGGCTTATCGAAGGCCATGTAAAAATGAGAACTTCCGATATATATGTTACCGTGAATGACCGAAATTGGAGAATGTCGACTTTCACCGGTGAATGTCAACAGATACCAAATACGTCGGTGAAAGATCGAATATTTCATTACATTGTTGTACATTCGGACCCTCTCCAGTGTGTGTCAACATCACACACCGGTGAATGTCAACATTTACCGGTGTAAGTCAGAAATAAGGGTATTTAGCAAATATTTCGGACATACACTAAGCGACTATGTGAATGTTGACATTTACCGGTGAAAGTCGACATTCTTCAGATTTCGGTGTTTCACTGTAACATACACATATTGTAACCGCCACATTTGCAACGAAATCCAGCAGTTAGGCACCCCAGAGGGGCGGAATAAAGTCCATTCGTCCCCGAGGAGGTCGCAGGGGTGGCGCGGACGTTAATCGGGCGAGAAGTCCAGCGCAAACCCGGCAGGGCGAGAAGCGATTTCCAATTCAAAGGCAATGACCACTCACCCCGTCTCTCTATTTGGCCTTCGGCCTCGCGAGCGTCGCCGGACAAACGCGTATTGTGATTCGATCCTTTGACCGAGCCGCGATCGCCCCCCTGGGGGAATTCGCGCCCGATAGGACGGATCGCGGCGCCCAGGGCGCCCTTTCCACCCCCCGGGCGGACCGGGCGGAAAGGGGCGCGAACGCACCCCCTGAATATTCATGGGCTGAACCTCCCCAGACGGAATCGGACTTGTTGCGACTGACACTGATGTAAACCTTTGTTTATCCGCCACCCCCTCTCGGGGTGGCCACCCCGAGCTCTCTCGCGAGGCCCGTCCGCCCGTTTAGCCGCGAGTTAAAGTCTGATTAATCGTTGGCCCCGGGGTTATTAATTGTTTGTCCTTTTGATTTCGCAAGCCTCGGCTCTCCCCGTCTCTCTTTCTCTCTCTCTGACGGGGTTGACACCCCTCCGGACCGCGTCTGATCCCCCGATTTGTTCCGGTTAATCCGCCCGGGCGTCGCGGCCGACTTCCGCGTCCGGATTCGCGAAGGGTTATTTATGACGTTTGCGTTTACGCAGTTCATTTAATTAAACCCTTCCTCCTGGAGGCCGACTGTATCAAGGCCCGCGCCCTGAGATTAAGGGGATTTTTCGGATTCCTTGGTACCCTTATGGAATTAGAATATCTTTTTCATAAGGGGTGGCGATAAGGGGTAGCCAGCTCCGCTGACAAGTATTAATCTCTTCCCCTCTGCATTGAAAACTGTCAATTTTATATGTATTTTCTAATTGTAAGTTCGAAATATCTATTTGGGGTTGTCAAAAATTAAAAGTCTATATTAACTTGGGGGTAGGGATGCAGTCTCCTTTCTTTTTTACAAGGTACTTTTTCTCAGGAATAGTGTACCCTTTTATAGTATATGTGGCTTTAAGGGCGGAGGATG